CAAATTATCTATTTTAAAAAATCAAAATCTAGAAAGTTTGATAGTTTTAAGAATTGACTTCTCTCTATTTTAAAAGATACAACCAAATCCCTGTGTCAATTTGTAGCCCTGGTGATGATTATTCTAAAAAGCTATTGTCCAAATTTACAAGTAAATTTGTCAGGTAAATCATGCACGCAAACCTTTCAACTATAGAACATGCCCTTTCTACCATAAGGAGAGTCAATCTGACTAAACAACTGTTAATTTAGGTCTAAATACCTAAAGGCAAACTATATTAGCACTGTTATAGATCATTTACAGCTAAGGGTCTCAAATCTTTTTGGAATATTTTAAAAACGCTCAACCTCTTTTTTACCAACTGACCCCCTTAAACTGATGTAGATAGTAGGGATTTTTCCAAGTAACAGGCTAAGATATGAATCACTAGGGATGTGAAATCCCTTTTTATTGAACTGACAAAATAAAACCACAGGTAACAATCACTACAAATGAAACATAAAAAATAACTGAGTTTGCATGAAAGTACCATATATTAAAAAAATTAGCCTAACTCGATGGTTGCAGAAAAAATAAAAGTCTGACTTGGACAAAAACTACTAAAGACAAACATTTAAACAATGTTTCGCAATGACAACCAGAGACAAGCAACAAGATAAAACAAAGTCACTCCAAAAACAAAATATAGTGGTACTGCCAGAGTCCAACAAGCGGTCAAAAGAAGTCAGATAAAACAAAACAGAACTTATAAAATTGGCAAACATTTTATAGCAAAAAAAGTCAACCTACATTCAGAGAGCGGAGTACTCTAGCCATCTCTATGACTGTTTCGAAGTGGAAGCACTCTCAGGTACTGCTACAGGTAAAGATGACAAAACAAACCACTACAATCAAACAAGATAAAAATACCTGTTTCCAACTCGACTGAATTTCTGAACTAACATACTGTAGTGTACATTTGACTCCAATAAAAAATCACAAGTGATCTTCAAAATAAGACTTCTAAAATAATTAAGTTTACATAAAAGAGTCACTTAAAAAAAATCAGCCTATAGTTTAATGATTGTTGAAGTAAAACTTCAGATCTAAACTAGACATGATTAAAAAGGTTACAAACTGACTAACTACTGAAGACAAACATTTACACAATGTTCAATGACCATGGTGCAAAGAACCACATAAAACAAACAAAATAAAACTGGTACAACATTATTAGATCAAAAGAAATAAGCGCAACTCTTGAGTACCCACTTTGCATACCTTCCATAGTAACACAATTGAAACAAAACAAAAACATAAGCGGTTTTGAAAACACCATTGAAAAAAGGCTCTACACCCTAAAGCGGCGCAATTCTCTAAGGACATTTGCCATGGCTTCTGTGTTGCGCTTCATAAGTGTTTCCAAGTCAGACACATTCTCATCTGCAAAGCACAAACACACATTCAAGATCAGTAAAGTGAGTCAACCAGACCTGCAGGTCGATACAGTCATTGCAACGGCATATCTGGTTTGTCCCCAAAATATCGTAGAAGTATGTGATCCAAAAGCTCTTGTACCAAATGGTGCAAAGGGCTTCTTGAGTTTGGAAACTACAATCAGCACAACTGACTTACTTACTTGGCTTAGGTACAGCTAATGCCAACCGCCTCTTGCAGGTTGGTGTGAGTCCACTATCACCCGGGGGTGTATGGAATGCCTTATTCATAATGCGCTTCTGGTTAACAGGAGTCTGAAATTAAAAACGGAAGGCAGTATAATATAAACAAACCTACTACCAACACAAAAAATTATTTTGTCCACACACATAAAACAAAACTTACGTCATCCAATGTAATACAGTCTACTGACAAGTCCCCAAGATTCATTGCCTGGAAAGCAACACCAACAGTGATGAAAACAAATGACTACAAACCAACGGAACCGTGGTGGCTTTTGAAATTTTAAGTACCTTTAATCCACTTGGGCCAGCGGCGGCTTGGTCATTCTGCTCATTCGAGCTGCTGCTGCTGCTGCTGCTAATGACGTTGGCTTTGGCCCTGGGCTGCATCAACTAACAAAGATAGCAAAGTTACACACAGGAAATAATTATTTACATACAACACATACAACTGAAGGATCTAATTACAAACCTTGGGCTTGGGTGGGTCCTCATCACTGCTGAACTCGGGAACTTTAAGATCGAGTTCAGGCACCCCAAGCAAGACATCATGTGGCTTGACTTCCGAGTCATCCTCATCAGAACTGATAATGAGTATGGCTTGGGATTGGGCCTGCTCATCACGTATCTATTAACAAAGGTGGTAACATTTACACACAGAAAAATACGATTAAGAAACATTCACATACAACTAATTGATGTATCTACAAACCTTGGGTGGGTCCTCGTCATCATAGTTCAACTTGGAAGGAACTTCAACAAGGTTTCCATCCGGAAGTAGTTCATACTCCCCGAGATGGGCTGCACCATCAAAGATAGGTTCAACATTGGGGGCAGCATCGACAATTGGTGGAGTGTCTACTGCTGCTGCTGCAGCATTGGCCTGGGGAGGCTGAGGGATCGCTACAACCTGAGGCACCACGTCAGCCCCATGAACCATGAACTGGGCCAGCAGGACATCAGCATTAGGTATTACTTGGGCTGGGGCAGCCTGCTCTGGCACTTCGTTGCCAGGTGCATCGACAACATGCAACTTAAAAGAGACGATACATTTTAAACTCTGAAATAAGCATGTAATGTTTGTCGTGGAAATTTAAATACACCAGCTTACTTGAGGCAACTGCAACCCATTCATGGCTGCATCCACCCCACCAGTCATCTCAATGACCCGGCGGTGGTGTACGTTTGCGAATCGAATGGCATTCAGTTCGGGGAGCTGCCCACCAAGAGCTAGAATGCCCTGCACGTGCTTCCGATAAGATGCCCGTGCCCGGGACTTCATCCCATTCCAAGCCTGAAATAACCGTGTCGTTAGACAAAATATTAACTATACGTGACATCTGGTACAAAATTCACTTACAGACTTCCACTTTGGCCCATCTTTTTTAGCGGTGGCATTTTCAATGCCATTTACTATAATGGCCAGAGAAGACCACTTTTTGGCCAATCTTGCTTTACCACCGGGATGAAGGTATACACCTTTACACATCTCTTCATCATTTTCGATGAAGTCGAAAAGAGCGTTCCATTGCTCATCGGAAGGGAGACCAGCATCTGGAACAAGACACACAAAAGAAGCATCAAGCCAATTACAAAGAGAACACGCACTTGTGAGTTTTGGAATGTAACAAGTCTTATACTTTTTAGAAAATAAATTTATCTCTAAACGTGCAGGGAATGACAAAACAATATCCATGAATGCAAAATCAGTTCAAGATATTACACACTTTCTGAATACACAAATGGATGGGAACAGCTAGGACACATGAGTCAGGTCTCAAGTAACAAACTACACAGGAAAAGGAAAAATAAAATGTTCAGTTATGACACCCTCAGACGGACGCGCATAGGCACGCCCGATAAGAATAGACATTGATTGCTTTCAGAACTCCACGGAACGCCCAACAA